TGGGCGAGACCAAGCTGAAAACCAGATTCAGAGGCTGGCCAGATCTCGTGATACGCTTGGACATCTGGCATTTTATGCGCAGGATTGCCTTGGGGTGTACAACTGATGCCCATCAGCTGTACCCCATCTTCATGTCACGGCTATCAGCATGCATCTTTGAATGTGATGCGGCTGATGTCTCTATGCTTCGAAAAGCAAAGAGAGAGCTGTTGATGTCCCAGGGTTGGCCTGCGCTGACAGATGACGATGCCAACAAGCATCTGACCAGGGAGGAGCTGGCTCTACATTGCCGGAGGAGGACCCGTGGAGAGGAGACTACCATCCTTCACCTTGAACGACTGCTTACCGAGCTCCTGAGCAGCAAGGGCAATGACTCCCTGGGTGTTCCTCTCCTGGACCGAGAAAGGATGGAGCACATCTGGAGTGTCCAGAAGAAGCACGTCAAGTGTATCCAAGACCCCCCTGGTGTTGCGCTCTATACTGAGACCGGGAGCTTAACCAAGGGAGGTGTGCTTCTGAAGACATACAGATGTGCCAGAGGCTCCACTTCTCTTGAATCCTTTCATTTACACCTTAACCGTTTCATCCCAGGTACGTCTTTGTCACACACACTGTGCGTATGTAAAGAAAGAACATTAAGTGTCTTTGTGTGTTTAACACTCCCTAAAAACTGTTGTGTCGGTTTACAGGGACCAGTGCAAACAGTCTGAACTTTCAGATTTATTTGCTGGAGGGTCTACACCGGTGGAACCAGGATCGGGAGGCTGCTTCGCTGTCATCGGAGCCATCAGCTTTGCGCAGCTACACAGGAGAACTTGTTCACTGTGTAAACCGCAATTATGAAAAGCTGTTTGGCAGGAAAGTGGTCCCCACGTTTTGTCCTCCTGCACGTTACACCGGTAAGAATTTATTATTGTTAATTAACTTGCAATTTCTGTGTAATCTCAGGCGATATTTTATATTTAAGCCTATGAAGTCTACTGTATCTGTGTTTTAGACCTCTAAATTATCAACATGATCAAATTTTTTTCTTGAAACATGCCCTCTTGTCATCTGATTGATATTTTCTATCAAGTAAAAGGCCTTTCAGTATAATTGTACAAACGTCTACCTCATACTTCACATGTCATTTTGCTGTGAAATCTTTACTATTAGAAAGTAATTGTTATTTTTAGAAAGAATAACTTGGATATTATTAGTAATATTTGGTGACCATTTACTGTACTGAGTATAGGTTTATGGCCTCTGAATTTTTTTTTTCTCTTCGACTATGAGCTCCATGTTCTCACACTTACACTATATGAGCTACAACAAATGCCTTATGTATCAAATATGATACACAACAATTGTATTTAATTCCTGTTTGTTTTTATTCCAGGTGAGCTCATTGGAGTGCAGTATCTGTTCCAGCAGACTGGACAGGCATTGCAGGACATGAACCCAGACTCTGAAGAGACGGCAGAACTCATCGAGGACCTTAATGTGGAGGAGCGAGAGGAAGATGAGGGCTTCTGTGACATCAGCGAGGATCACACCATTGCAGATCCAGAGGTTGTTCTGTCACCACCCTCCTCCACACTGACACTGGGTTCTTCCACCCTGGTCACCAGCAGTGACACGGCTGTACTGGGTTCTACATCCCCTTCACTGGTCCCTGACCCCACACAGTCTCCTTCATCACCTGGACCCTCAGGGACTGCTGTCTCACCGGTTCCCTCTGAAACATCTGTTTCACCACTCCCCTCAGAACCAGAGGATGCTGGTCAGGATGATGATGAAGAGACGGTAAGTGCCACTCCTCTGTATTTCTTTCAAATAAACTAGAATAATTCAAACAAGGATGGATCAACATCTACTTCTTACTACTGCTTTAAATCCAGACTTTGCTCAGATTTTAAACTAAAGTCATTAGTAGGCAACAAAGATGCATCGAGTCAAATCAGTTTTATTCCGTTAGTGCTTTGTACTATACAGATTGTGTGAAAATAACCGAATCAATGGAACTATGCATCAAACAAATGTGATGGGGGAAAAAAATATATTTTGTGGTTGTGTTTTTTTAATAGGCTGTTGACTACCAAAATGTCCCGGGATATCAACATGTGGACAGGCTGGCAGAATATCTGGTGGAGCTCCGGGGTCACACAGCCCTCAGACTGGCCAATCAGGAAGCTAACGCCATAATTGCACTTTGGCAGAACCTGGATGACCGGGACAAGCAACGGTTGGTGTATGCAGCTCGACACCAGAAGAGACTGCTGAGTGGACGCTTCAGAGTACCAAAGAGGCCCACTCACACCCCTGGAGTAGAGAGCACCATCAGAAGTGTGCTGGGTGCAAGCAGTGCACCTGCTCAGTGGCCTGACTGTTGCCGTCTGGTGGAGACCATCTTCATCAGGCTTTGCACAATTCACCCAAGCCCCAAAAGAAAAGGCAAGGGAACGCTGTCGAGATGGTCTCTGATCCTCCAAGACTACAGAAGGATAAGGCAGCTTGTACTGGGCAACAGCTTGGTGATGGGAGGAACCTCAATGCAGCTGGTGGAGGTTAACCAGAACACCCTGATTCAGTGGTACAACAACAGGCAGAAAAAGCAAGAGCTGTCTGTGCTGCTTCAGGGCATTCAGTTGCCTCAGCCCCTCCCTGAAGCTCAGGAACCTCTCCAGGCTGCCAAACGCCCACGGACTGAGCCAGAACAACCAGGGGAGCAGCACCAGTACAAGCTACCAGAGAGCACAGCAGGTCAGGCAAAGCAGAGGCAGACTTCTACTGGACGACCCCCTCTCAGACCCAAGGCACCAGCACAGAGTCCTATGTTGGTTACGCCATCAGCACCTGGAGCATCAGTGCAGATGGTACCCAACATACTTATACCAGCAGCACCAGGTTTCCAGGGTGTGCCGATGTTTCAGGGTCTGCCAATGGTTCAAAGACTGCCAATGGTTCAGGGGATGCCGATGGTCCAGAGAATCCCGATGGTCCAGGGGATGCCAACGATACAGCCACTGTTACAGCCTACAGTTGTGCAGGGCACCAGTTCACAACCTGCTGCACCAGCTGCCAGTCCACAAGCCATGCCCAAGAGACCCTACAAGAGAACTGTAGAGGCAAACACTTGCAAGAAGTGTGGACAGTTCAAAACCAGTGCAACGGGACATAGCCAGTACAGGGGCAAGGTGTACTGCCCACAGACTGAGACTATTACAAAAGAACAGTGGTTGGAGCAAATGCGGAGAACTGTTCCCAAATAATGTATATATTTTTATTTATTGTAGTGTATATAGTTGTTTTAATATAGTTCACTATTGTTAATATTTGTGTTGAACATTATTTAAAGTTGTTGTTTTTTAAACATTATTTAATATTTAACATTATTTACTGTTTTTTTTTATCCTATTTAACTTTAACTTATTGTTTTTGAAAACTTGATATTTACCGTTTTATTTACCTTTTAATTGTTGCTTAAACTTATTTAATTTAATATTCATTACTGTTCTGTTAGCATAATTGTAAAATAAAAAATTTGAGAAATAATTGCTTTTTTTATTTGTGCTTTAATATAACAATATTTCATCAGTACACTGCAACAATAGAACATGTCTATAAAAAGATAATTTGCATTTTGTCATTCTTGTCACAGACATTTTTCAGCATATTAATTACTATTTTGCATCTTTTTTTCATTAGAAATAACATGCTTGTAAGTGTCTTGAATTAATGTAACCTAAAAAAAATGCTTAATCAGAATAATATCAATACAACTACTAAACAACTACTAAAACTAATAATAACAACAAAACACATTTCCATTGGTATAGTTTAATTTTCATGAAAGAATAACAAACTAAGTACATATGTACATTTTATTAACCTTGAAATTTCATGTATTTAATGAAATTAACAATATTACAAAAAGTTGTCTTTAGCTGGATTCGAACCCCGGTCTTGGTGAGCACCTGCAATAGGAAACAGTGTAATATAAATGCGCGATTTTCCCGCAGGAAGGAACCGGAAAATGTATCACTGCGCGCATGCTAAGGAAGAACTGTCTTTGAACGTCAAATTTCACCCTTTCTTTTCTTCATTTCTCCTTTCTCTTCTTCCCCTTCTCTTTTTCTTCCTTCTCTCTCTTCTTCCCTTCTTCCCCACCTTTGACGGACTACTGTTCCCCAGCTTGAGCGCAGCGCCTTAGACCGCTCGGCCATCCTGACACTTGCGTTCACCGAGAGCTGACTTGTTGGAGCTACACCTAAAGCATGGACCTAAAAGCTAGTGATTCTCTGTTCAGCACCCATCAGCCCCCAGGCCTTGTTGGCGCAGTTAGGCAGTGCGTCAGTCTCATAATTTAAAGGTCGTGAGTTCAAGCCTCACACGGGGCAGCGTGTTGCTTTT